ATAACGGAGGAGGCACTGTTAGGCAAAATTAGAGATGGAAGAAGACCAAAGATCGTGTAGACCAAAGGATATGAAATATTAATTAGTGTGGTTCACTACATGACTCAGTCAGTAAAGCCCTTGCTGTGCAGACATAAGGATTTGAGCTCAGATCCCAAGCACCCACAGAAAAAGCCAGGAGTAGTAGACTGTGCCTGTAACCTTAGTCCTTGGGAGTCAGCTACAGGAGGATGTCTTCAGCCCATAGGCTAGCTTTAAATGAGCTCTAGCTCCAGTGAGATACACAGTGTCTCAGAAAAAAAAAAAGGTGGAGAGCAATGAAGGAAGACACCAGACAGATGCTGACCTCTCTGTACATATGCAACACCAACAGGAACATGAACCTCAATGTGCACACGACACACACGCAAAAGTTTAGTTAGGTAAAAGAGAACCATTACATGAGTCTACTACTATACAGCATGTTGGCTGTGGCAAGCGGTATGTTTTCATTTTTGAAATTTACTGAGAAAAATAGTTTTAAATACTCTTATCATAAAACTTACAGGGAATGTGACCATTTAAACGGTTATTTATAATTGTTATTTTTTAACTAAAAATAAGCAAATAAGACCTGAAGTTTGGCTATAACCTGGAGACATTTCCATCATCTCTGAAGACACTTAATGTCTGAGTCTGTGGAATTCAGTGCTGACACTGATCAACCACTAGTTGTACACCACGTTGTCAGGGCATCTTGCACATGGGCTTGGAGAGCTCAGCATGCTGCTGTGGAACAGGAGTATTTTTGTTAGGAGAAGGGATTAATGCTTTTCAGAGTTACTAATCTGAAGCATTTGGATTCATAGATGATATTATGACCCGCATACTAGGACCTGGGGTGGGGACTATAATTTGGGATTATACACTGAAGGATATTTAATGGGCCTACAGAAGATTTAACTATGTTTGGAGAAGAACAGAGGTTTCATTCACTTCCATGGAGTAAATATGTGGAGCAACGACAGTCAGTGTTTTAATTAGCCAAATGAATAAGAAAAAGAGGACAGGAAAGAAAAGGAGAACATAGAATGAAGGAATTTAGAGAAGTAACCATGCATAAGTGTGTAGTAGATTCAGGCTAGCAAGCCTTACCAAATCACAGGTTGCAGATATGAAGCTGAGTTTAGGAATCTCCACATGGGGAAGGTATAAGAATATGACACAATCCCCACGCAAAGAGGAACTTCTTAAGTGTCAGGTACTTCATGTCCAGGGACATGCTTATTTCTTCTCCCTGAAGAAAACCAGGCACTGATAGCATCCCCTCGCTCAGATACAGAAATGCCATTTAACTATCTTGCTAGACTTTCCAGGATCAACACAGGAATGGAAGTATCTGGAGAAAAGCAATATGAAGAACTCATCTCTTTCCACCATTAGGAAGTACCTTACCACTGAGACACTCACAGTGATGCCACTACAGTTTTAAGCTGTTATGAGCTAAGAAATGGTTGGAGCCAGAATCATTGTAAATCTGTCTTGGGATGCTTACTTTTTATAACTTAGCCATAGGTTAAGGACAGAATTAGCTGACTTAGAATGCTGTTTGTGTCCTCAGAGATGAGTTAGAGAGCCATGTTGTTAAGAACTCTGAAAAATGTCTAGCTTAGAACCTGCAGCTGAAAGAACTATGATCTCAGCGGCAGAGATTGGATGAGGTCACAGGCTGGGAAATGAGAGAAGCTTGTCCCTAACAGCTAATCTGAGTTCAGCCCAGTCATGGAGCAAATGAACTGTGAGACAAGGAGCAAAGGCAAATGGAGTGAAAAGCAAACATCTTTCCCAGAAAATTCTAGGCAACCATGAAAGGAAAAAAAATAGACTTTTATCCATAAAGAATTTCCAGTTGTTTAAGTGAAGATATTTTATATCTGAAGGTCTATTTTTTTAACAGTCTCTGTAATGGTAAAGAAGAAAAGTAGGGAACAATACAAGAAGAAGTGAGGGAGAATCTATTAGAGATATACACTCAGACTATATGAAGATATATATATTCAAAATACTTATCAAGCATCCTAGTGAAACAGTTGGACATGCCTATTGCTGTCTTGGAGCTGAGTGGTTATAACTATCCATAAGAGATCCTCATAAGATGAGGGTTATTAACATTCCCTACAGAAGGAACCAAGAGATTCATGGCTCATGAGATCTTCATCTGGCTTCCTTTTTCAAATTCCAATGATCACTATTGATAGTGTAAGTAACTGATTGGGGTGGGATTTCTGTCCATTAAGTTGTTCATGTTACCTCCCAGTAGAGTAGCTGCCCTTTGAGTCACCCTGTTCCTATGAGCAACCACAATAACAACAACAACAACAACCGTCATAGGTTCACTTTTTTAGACTTGAATGGAATTCTTTTTCTGGTCTGTGGATGGTCTAACTAGAGGCATTATGTCATTCCTTATGCTTTCTCAGTAAAAACCACCCAACAAGCATCAACTATGCTCTCCATTTGATGATCTGGATTTTCCCAGATAATTTAAACATGACAACATGACTCTGCTCCAAGTAGCTGACACCTTTGCATGTAGAAATGGATATATATATCCATATATATGCACCAGAGACAGAGGTCCTTCTTTGTGATGCTAGTCTAACTAAGGACTACCTATAGAATTTATAAGGTTGCATATCTAATACCCATATCAAGAAGCATGTTTTGCTACTAATATTATTTAATAATAGACACCATCCTGGGACTATTTTTTTGAAATCTGTGTAATCAAAAGGTCTGTGGAGGAATTTCCTGCATTTGTTAAGGAGTTGGGCTAGATAACTAACTCTGAAGTTCTCTTTTAACAGTAAGACACTATAAAAGATTTCATGTTCCGATGTTTGCATCAACAAGCACATGGTATTTACTCCAGTATTAGGAGATGAACAATAGTGAATAGCTGCCCAAGAGGATTAAAAATAAAAGTGTCACATCATCTCATTAGGATCCAAACACTTGAGTCTTCTGACTTAGCAGAATTATGAGCTTTGCGGTCAAATCAACAGGAAATGTCATTCCCTTTCATGTCTGGTTGCTATCTTTGCTTTTGATCAGTGTTGACTTTTATGGTTTAGTCGACTTGTTTTCATTTTTATTTTGCCCGTCTGCCTGTAGCTCAAACTTTAAAAGTAAATCAAGAATAGGAAGAGAAACAGTTCACATGTGATGAGAGATTTTCAGGAAGTCATACATGGTAACACACACTAATTATCATAGTACTTATAACAGAGGCAGGGGCATTGCTAACTGTTCAAGACCGATGGGGTCTACATCATGGGTTCTAGTACAGATGGGAGTGCATAAAGATTCAAAGTCTTAAAGGAGGAAAAAAAAACAAACATAATGCCATATAAAATGCTCAAGGACCACAAATTATTCCGGGCTTGTAGTGTAAGTACTTGGGTCAAACATGGGCTGCTCTCAAACAGCCACATGGCAATCATAGACAGATTCACTCAGCAGTGGATGCTTTGATATGGCCCAACTTAAATCAAAATATAAAATGGTTAATCTTTATCACAGCATTACACAGAAGAGAATGTTCCTGGCCCTAAATCATCTCGACTTGGCTTCTTCCTCATGCCAGCCTATCCCAACATACCATCTCTGACCTCAGTTGCATCATTAGTCACAGAGACTGGACTCATCAGCAAAGTCAGGCCCAGGGGTAGAACACAACTATTAAAGAACAAAATCTATGGCTGCAAAATATCGCAGTTGATAGTTTTGCTAGAACTACCATTTTTAAAATTCTACCTTCCCACTACAAACTTAAAATCAGTTGATATTTTTCTGAAACCTGAGCACAAAGTGTGTGTTCTCGGATCTGAGCCATTTGTTGGAATGTCACTCAGAGTTTGGCTATTAAATCAAGTCACTCTTTACACCAGAATTTCCCTCTTCTTTAAAATGTAGCTAATGACAATTAACTCTGTAGTTCGTGGTCCCTATGTGCCAGGTACCATATCAAAAAGATTATATACTATCTAGGGACTGATAGTTTTTCTGAAGGAGGTGGGGAGAAGCTGAAAACTTGGAAGGGCACTCTTGTTAGGTAGCCAATTCTGACTGCATGGTAAGTGTGCAGAACCTCTGAGGACACTATTTCAGCCTCCTCTGCATTCTCAGAATTGTTCCAAGACTCACAGGAATCAAAGGGAGCTTTGGAGGGCAAAGATTCATGTTCTTTAAAAGTAAGATACTTATGGCCAAATCCATGATCCTGCACCTACATTATCTTAGAATATCCTCACACAGTCAAGCTGCATTCTTTCTAATTGTGTCTTTTCTACTAGTAAAATGAAAACTTGCCAACATGGGATAGCCTGAGTGATATTTAGTCTATAGCATCAGATTTTTAGACATTTTAGAAAACCTGGTGATTTTTTATCCCAAAGTAGATACCCATGTAGTTGCTTTCTATATGCATTCTAATAATAATCTATTCCCATATTTTCAGCTATGAAGCAGTAATTATGAAAAAACTACTGCAGACTCAGGACTTGTCTCACAGTTTCAAGTCCTTCATATTCTCCTGTTGTCTCTTAGAGGCAATGGAAGGTGACAAAGTCATACAGTATAGCTTTGTTTTATGAATGCGTGATTGCACAGGAAATTAAAGATTCTCTTCTTCCACACCAGCCACAGCAAGAAGCAAAAATAATGTTCCACTGGTGAAGTCACTACCGTCTTAGTCTCTCTCTCTCTGAATGCTGTTTCCCTTAACAAATCTATAAACAGAACTGGCATTCTTAGTCTGTTTGGTTCAGCACTCCCTAGAGATGATATGAAAGGAAAAGATAATTCCCAGTCATTGGCCTTGTAGTAATAAAGCATGACTACATAGACCATGGAAGATTAAGGTACTCATCCAAAGCCTTAACACAGAAAGAATGAGCTTAAGGGAAGAGATGAACAAATACCCAGGCTTGGTCACTTTGTGTATGACAGCAAGCCCTTACCTTAGTTACAGATCCAAACCCTGGGACCTTTTCATCTTCAGCACGACTGCCGTGGACACATCTCATGCTCTTTTCTCTGTGCCCTTCTAGTTCACTCTCTGAGGCTGTCAGCACCTACCACCATGGAGATGAGAAACCCCACAGCAGAATCTCGCTCTTTTTTGCCTTTCCGGACACATTCAGAACAGACAAAAGCCAGAGTTCTCAGCATTTACTCGAGTGAATCGACACTTTCTTTAACTGGTTCCCATGCCTACTCATGGTAGAGACGCTTGCCAAAGCGGGCTGACAGAAAACAAGAAGCCAGAAGTATCCTTTCTCTATACTCATTTACAGCCCTGTCTTTTGATTGCAGCTCTAGGAGCCTGTTAAATCACAAGAATCTCTCAAATTACCAAGTGGCCACATGCCGCCCCCTAAACATCACATTGACCCAGAAGGCTGAAGCCTCTCGTACTGACACACCAGGGCTAGCTAGTACAACTTCATCCAAGTCTGATGTCCTTATGTGTGGGCTCTCTGTTACTGTCACAGTAGAGTTTTCTGGAAAATACACACCCTGTCTGAGGATGTAACCCTATACCAAAGGCAAACAGCCTCTTGCCCAACATCATTTCACATGGGCTCCAAGGTAGTAGGTGACCCTAGAAAAATTATCAACAACCTTGATATTAATTCCAAGGACATTAAATGTTCTTTGAGAAGCTGCTTTCATTTGTACTTGTTTTCACTACTTTGGGGATAAGAGAAATAATGAGTCACTTGCTCATTGTCCAGTATTCATTATGAAACCTTATCATTTTGAATAATTAGTCATGAAAATATGGGGTGCGGGAGGAGGGGAGGGAGAGGGAACTGGGATTGACATGTAAAACAAACTATTTAAAATTAAAAAAAAGTAAATACTGGCAAATTCAACTGAGAAGTAAGAGAGGGAATTTTGATATGAGAGATTCAGTTTTGTAGTAGCCATGGCAGGAGATAACAGTTCAGAAGTTCAGACTAGAAGTTCAAACCAGACATTATCGATATATATTTGGCATTGGCAGTCATGAGAAATGGAAAAGACCATATAAGAATTCAGACTAGAAGAGAGAAGGGTTCCTCAACTTAGGCTTGGGACAAAAAACAATTTGAGTTTGGAACAAGGAAGAGTATTCACAAAAAGAGACAGAGAGAATTGCTCCACAAAGAACAAAAATGTAAGATATAGGACACTCTGAAAAATTGGGAGGGGCTAGGGAATGCCATTCCTGTCAGGTATGGAAGGTAAGTAAAGACAACAGCCCAGTATGGAGTGGTGGTATTTGACAGTGAGATGCCATTGTCACAATTTAGAAGACAAAGCCATGATTAGATAACAAGTAAGTAGGAGAAGCATGGGAGGTATTAGAGAGGGGAGGCACCAAGCTTTCACAGGACTCTGTGCTCAAATGGAGTAGAAAACTGGGAGGAATGGAAAGCCACATGGGAAAGAGGTTTGTCTGGAAAAAAGAGTTGTTGGTTTGTCTTTAATTAATCCCTTGGTAATTTCATATTTCATACATGTATATCAGTTTGTTTGAACATACATGCCCTCTATTATAATCTCACACCTGCTAAACCCCTTTTTCTTATAAAATTTTACCTCCTTATTTCATGGATTTTGTGTGTGTGTGTGTGTGTGTGTGTGTGTGTGTGTGTGTGACCCTCTGTGTTTAATTGGGGCTATTTGTATTAGCATGTTTGTGGGGTTACATATTGGAACACTGGAGCATGGGTAAGCTACCAATGGCAACACCTTCTTGTTCCACTTAGACACTAGCTGCCGATGGCTGCTTAGGGATGGGTGGCACCTCCCTGGGCTTTGAAAGAGGTGATAATTTGTCACTGAAAATGTTTTCAATTGATTTTTTGGGGGGTTTTCAAGACAGGGTTTCTCTGTATTGTTTTGGAGGCTGTCCTGGAACTCACTCGATAGACCAGGTTGGCCTTGAACTCACAGAGATCTGCCTGCCTCTGCCTCCCAAGTGCTGGGATTAAAGGCATGAGCCACCAATGCCCAGCTGATTAATTTTCTTAATTAAGTTAATGCCCTACTTTTGTGTATCATTTGTTTTAAAACCAAGTTCTTTTGGTAAATGTGAATAAGGTGTCATTTTCATGGTTTCATTTCAAAATCATAGAGGATGAAGACAACACTGGTATTAGAGCCATCATTGGATTTTCCTGGTACGTCTGATGTTACTAATCACTCGTTTAAATGATTGTGCAATAAGCAAATAATCTCATCTACTGTTTTCTTATGTTCTATATTATATAAAATACTATTTTTATTCCTTAAGTAGTGATTGTTTTATACATGTAAAATGAGATAAGCTATAAAATATAAATCTCATAAATTTTCATACTTATTAGGATAATCCTACTAAACCATATGCTCATTTAAAACATCAACTACCCCTGGGTTTTATAAGAAAGCAGGCTGAGCAAGGCATGTGAACCAATCCAATAAGCAGCACCATTCCATGGCTTCTGACAATAGTGGGTGGAACCCTCCCCATAAATCTCTAATTATGAAAATTCTTGCAAGTAGCCCAAATTTAAGGAAGTGCTTTCCCAGATGAGGCCTCCTCTTCTCTGATAACTTTATCTGTGTTGAGATGACATAAACTCTGACAGAAGAATATATTTGATAAATTTTTCTCTATGCTGAAAAATGTAACAGTTAAGCAAGGAAACCAAATGCAATGTTTTAGGATACCTGTGTTCTGCGTGCTCTTCATAGAATGATAACCTGCATTTACAACAGTCTCCACCACTGTAATTGACAGATACATATTCCAAACTACACAATAGCATCCTGAAATAAAGGATACTAACAAACTCTGCATACACTGTTACAATGTGGATATGAAATATCTCCCTTCGGATCATGTGTTTGAAAATTTGAATCTCTGCTGGCCATGCTGTTTGGGAGGTTGTGTAGGGGGTGGATAACTGGGAATGGACTTTCAGGGTTTGTGACCAATCTCCACTTCTTATGTTGTTCATAGTTCAGCCACCACATGAGAAAATGCAGCCATATACTCTTGCTGCCTTGGGTTCTTTCCAACATGCATCTCCTGCCATTATTTCCTCTAAAATGACAAGGCAAAATAAACTTGTTGTCCCTTGAAAAAAATCAATTGGCATTGATTCAGTGCTTAATGGCTATTTCTCAAAGGCCAGAATAACTATATGAATAAATAGAGCATTAAAAAGAACTTCAATTGCAAATATTTACTGGGAGGGTGGTCTGGTCCCTTTATAACTGAAAAAAAATTAAAAGAACTTAAAATATACACATTAAATTTGCTCACCATGCTAAACCAATATGTATGTGTGTATGTGCATTTTCGTATGTCTGTCTGTGTATACATCTATTTCATATAGTTCTTAGTAGACCGACATAAACTAAAAACTGTAAAATATTTAAGACAGTAACAGACAAAGTAGTTGCTGTCAGAATCACAGCAAAAGTATTCTAACAGGAAGTCTAGGGAGAAGGTGGCCTACAAGAGGGTGTGTGAATGGTTGGGATTAAATTTTTCTCTGTAGTGTAAAGACTGACAGGAAATGTGGGGGGGCATAAAAAACACACAGCAGAAGGAATGGGCAGGCAAGCATCAGGTTTAATTAAAGTTATGCAAATGAAACACATTGATCTTGAAAAAACTGCCAATTATACTTCTGGTGATGCTATGACAACTACATAATTTGCATATAGTAATTCTACTTTTAAAATAAGTTTTGTTTCCTTTGAGATACGGTCTCATGAATAGTTGACTAGACTCAAACGTCCTCTGGGGTCTTGGACAAACTCGAACTTCTGATCCTCCTGCCTCCACTTCTCTAGTGCAGGGATGGCAGGAGCATGGCACTACCATCACCATCACCATCACCATCACCACTCTTGGTTTGTGAAGTCCGGAGGCTAGAACACAGGGCTTCATTCACAGCAAGTCTACATGAATTCTACCCATTGACCTGTACCCCGACCGACCCTGTTTTGGTAATGATAAGTAAGACAAATAAAAAACCAGTCTACTTTTACACAGCACCACATAAATATGGATAATGGACAAAAGTGTTAACTTGAGCCTGACTTTCAATACTCATTGAAAATGCTGAAGTTGTTGCACCAGTCCCAGCCTCTGCTGAGATGGCCCCTCTGATTGACTGAAACAAATTGCACAGGTGCCGTGTTTGGCTGACCTGAGAACTTCCTGTTATTCTATCTGCCAGGCTACACTTGGATGTGGAGGAAGTATTTAAGGTTCTCATCAGTAAACAGGGTGTCCCTCCTGAATGTCTTTCCCACTTACTTAAGATCCTCATGCCTCTTGCCCTTTCCTGATATGCTTCACTTCCGTTGGACAGGCTACACTGCAGTGAAGTATGTTATCCTGATAGACTTTAGCCTCTGAAATCATGCAGAAGACAGCGGTGAAATGCTTACTTCCTCTCAGACAATGTTTAATTTTGGAACGGAACCCTGAAGTGCCCCCATGCACTTCTGGTTGGAGCTTTTATTTAGGAATTTGAATGATCTTTGTTTTTAAGAGTTCGGTGTTCCTCACTGCCAGACACACACAGTATCAGGCAAAGACCTTCTGAGAACTGACAAAGTGACTGATCAAGGGATGACCTGAGATTATTCAATATATCATATGAATCATGGGAATATTAGTACAAGAATCTAACATCTGAACCCTCTCTATAATGTCCCTCCCAAATGGCTATCAGTGTCTGATTTATATAGTTCTCATAGACCAGAATCCCAGTGGTTTCTTCATGTTCTGTCACTGCTTTACAGTCACTCTGCACACTTAAAGAGGAAGTCCTTCCTCAGCTTCAGATAAAAATGTGCCGACTCGTAGCTGTCACAAACTTTCCTGTGTTCACACTGTCCCCAGACTGCAGCAAAACAAGTTTTGCAGCACTTCCAATTCTCAGTTCTTCAGTGGAATAAAGATGAGAACCTTATGGTCATATCCTACCTTCTAACACAGACTTCAGTTCTACCAGGAAAGAGAATCCCCAAATCTTTAAGTATTTCCAGTATCCATAACAATCATTTAATCATACCACTCAGGCCTTGTTCTGGTATATTTTAATAACCAACTTATTTGTAAGGGTTTCAGTTTCTGGGATGTAAATACTTCACACATGATCAGTCAAAAGTTTTTTTTTCGATTTCTGTGTTGTACATATTCCAATCATGGCTGATATCAAGTTTAAAATGAGACATCTCAGGTGAATGCAAGAGCTAGTAAGAGATCTCAACAATTGTGTATTATGGACTGAGAGTTTAGCTGGTCTTGATGATTTCTTGAGGACTCCTCTTGAAGTGTGATGGAAGCTGGACACAGTAACAAATTCCAGTAATCCCAGAAGTTGGAACGCTAGGGCAAATATATGAGGGATGTGTAAAAAGACCCATT